ACCGGCTGCCTTTATTTCTGCATCCTACAAGTGACGGTTTGCTTGAACTGGACTCGTAATCCTAATTACCCTCATTGCCAAGTGCATACCGCTAACAATGCAATGCCAGTTAAATTATGCAATTAGCTTCTGTACTTTACAAAAAATATAGATTTAGTTTGTACAATAATTTGTTTAAACTTTCAGATATTGGGATAAATATACAACTGAGATCGATTTTGATCCTTAATTTTGAAATGAGTAAAGCTCGGAAAAGGAGTTTTAAGAAAACTAATTTGTACGAGGAGAAGCCTTGGGTCTATTGCGACAAAGAAAAAGTCATACATGTAACTTCTCACTTTCTTTTCTTTGCTTTCATCTCGAAATTTGATGAGATCGTAGGCATCTTTGCTCTTCAGTGACAATATCTCATACTAAACCCTATCTTTTCTTTTTCATTTGTTCTAGGCTTTCCCCTCCTCTCCTCATTTTCTTTTGCTTCCCCTCTCATTGGCTCTCTCCTCCTTTGCTGAAGAATGATATCTTTCTCTTAGGTTGGAAAGCAGAAACTCTTCATCAAGAATTCAGGTGGAAGATCTTCGCCCTTGCCTTTTACTCTTCTTCTGAGACGATGGCCGGTACTAGTCCTTGGCTAGAAGATTAAGAGTAATCCCCATCCAATGCCTTTGTTACCTCATAATCGTCTGAGTGTTGGCACCGGAATATGCATGGAGACCAATGGCTACGCTCACAATCTCCGATAGAACAGTCCAAGTTTAATTTACTAGCATCCTAAGTTTAATTCAATCAAAAATAAAATAAAAATTTTGAAAGCAAACAATGATTTTTTTAATTCAATAATTATCACGTAAAGTTTTTTATAAGAATATAGTACAAGTTAGTATTCCAAACTACTGGAGATATTTTAATCATAAAAGATTTAAGACATTTTGTTTATTGATGAACAAATCATTAGCCTTTACAAGCTCATGGTACCATATACAACAATTGAACTCAAATTAAATATAAAATTAAAGGAATTTTAAAATATTAAAAAACTAAATATAAGTAATAAAAAGTTAATTAACATTAAACCAAGGAAATTTGTTTCTTCTGTGAATAGCACCATGGTCAACACTCAGTCTGCTTAACATGAAGAAGCTATCAATGCCTTGTCTCATTTGTCTCTCACAAAAATTCAATTTCAGAAACTCATGTTGCTTATCAAGGCGAACTCTATAAACACATACAGCTTATCCATGAGAATGACACTTATATGTCGGTGAAAGCCCACCTTTTTCAAGTAATAATAGTATGCATTTTCAACAACCCAAGTAATCAATCTTAAATCCATCAATAGCATGTATGATTACTAAACTTTGTTGTTTCAATTTACACAATCTCTCTGTGATTGATTCTCATTGCTAGATATTTGACTTGGGGTGCTTTTGATCATATAGCATGCTCTTTAAAATCTTTCATTTATTCAATATCAGTAAAAAATGTTTATGTGCAATTGCCAAATAGTCATGTGCTGTTGTCTCATACTTTCCAACAATTAGGTCGTTGCCGAACTTAGTTCTTCATAACAACATGTGCTTACCTTTCAAAAAAAAAAAACATGTGCAAAGTTTCAATTTCAATTTTGGTTTAAGTTACTAAGCTAATTGAGACCAAGTTACATAATTTGATATTTGTAAAAGGAGTTCTTGTGATAAGGAGACGAAGTGTAGTAAGTAAGTAAAAAGACGTACTGGAAGTGACAGAGAGAAAAATATGAACAGTTTTTAAAGTATTGAGTTTCGCTGCAAGTAAAGAAAATAAGAAGAGAATGGGTGGAGAATTAGAGAGTAGAAGAGAATTAGAAAGAGAAGTTGGGCGATAATGTTATAATTTAGGAAAAGAATCCCTCAAATGAATTGTGAAAGCTCTATATATAGTATCAAAAGTGACGGTTACTCAAGAATAGGTTTTAATGTGTACAATGAATAACATAATTATGAGGAGTTTTAATATGAGCACTGATTACTATAAGCTATTATGTTATTAAGATAGTAATTTTATGGTATATAATGAGTAACGGTTAGAAACTCATTATGTAACTGGTAAAGTAATTAAGTGTAATAATAGTTAATTTCAAGTAGAAGGTAATAGTAATGAGATATACAAGAAAAGCTCTATGAGAACAAATTAAGAGAAAAAGATGTATGCAAACAAGTATAAGAGAATAAGCTATACTTAAATAGGCAAAAAAGAATGAGGTAAAGTTGAGAGAGAGAAATACTTATATTCTAAGAAAAAGTTAAAAAGAAGACCCTTTAATTACTTCCACATTTAAGCCACCGAGCCAAACTTTCTGGAACATCTCAAGATGAAAATAATTCGTGAACCTTTTCACTTATTTTGATTTGCTTTCACTGTTATCTGTGTAAAGTGGTTATTTTGTGCAAAATAGTTGTTCCACTTGTATTAATTATTTCGCATGGAGTAGTGTTTCATTTATTTTAATTGTTTCGCATGAAGTAATGCTTATTTGTTTTAGTTGTTTTTTATGAAATAGTATTTTACTTATTCTAATTGTTCTAGATGAAGTAGTATTTTATTTCTTCTAGTTAATTTCATTATTCTTTATACAATATTATAGTATAAAACAACTCTAATAACATGTTTGGTTGGGGAATGGAATAACCGTTTCCCCCATTTTCTATTACTTACCTATTCCTACATTTGATTCATGAGAATGACTATTCTGAATAATGGTCATTCCTAGAGAAACTAGAATAGCCATTGCCAAGGTAATAGCTATTCCACACTTGGTGGACTAGACAAAAAATAATATTGTACAAAATTACGCTTTATCAATTTTAAAAATTACCTTTTTATATAAGATGTAATTTATTCATTTTCACATTTTCTTTCTCCCTTTACCCATCTCCCTTTGTCCTTCTCTCTCTAAATTAAACTTAAGTTTTAATATATTATGAAAATTAATATTTTAAATTTAAAAATTAAATTAAAATTTTAATATAAACTATAATAATTAACATTTAAATTTAAAATTAAATTAAAGTTTTAATTAAAAAATTTTAATATTTTCAAAATAGAGAATAAAATAAAATAATGGTATTAATATTTAATTATAAATTATTATTATTTTAAATGAAATATAAATTATTAGCATTCTAAAAATAAATAAATAATTATATTGAAGTTTTAAATAATAATTTAATAATATGTTTAATAACTGATTATAAATAAATATTTTAAATTAAAAATCAAATATTATAACAAAGGACATTTTTATTTTTTTCTCATTTATTTTTTGATTATTTCAAAGTTATTTTTATCAACTAAATATTAAAATAAGTCATAATAATCATTCAAATCCTATTCCATTCCATTATCCAAACTATGTAATAATTATTTCTATCTTATTTTATTATCACAAAATAACCATTCTATTCTCTCTGCATATAATTTCGTGAACCAAACATGCTCTTAAGAGAATTGATAGTAATCAAAATCTACAATATTTATTGACATGAAATACATAAAGACATCAAGTCATGAAAGATGATTGATCTTAATAAGGTCCAAGCATGATTATACAGTTTGCAAAACAAAGGAGTGATGTTTCTAATGACCAAATTGCCCCTGAGTTTTTTTCTTTATGATAATAATTCTGAACTTGGGAAATAATTACTTTTATTCTAACTTGCGTTTTCCTTGTTAGTTTTCTGTTATTTTACTTTCTACCGAAACATAATTTCACAATATATAAAAAAAAAAAAGGGTAAAAACAAAACCCTTACTCCTCAGTTAAATCTGTAACTTTGAGAGAAAGAGAGCTGCAACTTTCCAAGTTTTTCCAATTCTTTTAGCATTTTTTATTTTAATTTTATTGTAATTTTTAGCATTTATTATTTTTAATATTAATGGCCACATGGTACAACCTACCCACATGGCGATCATTACATCCACACAAGCACTGCGAAATGATGTTTGTTTGAAGTTAACGAAGGTGTAACAGCGTCGAACACGCAAAAGTTTAGGACTGAAAGTATAATTATTCCTTTTTTTTTGTTCTTTAGTATAATTATTCCTGTGTTATCTATTTGCAACTTTTGTTTTTCCCAATGGGTAAAAATTAAAGCACCAGCTTGTCTTGTCAGTTCCAAAGATTTAATTTAGCTCACAGCTAAATCGTACTCTGAAAGACAAAAACCTTTTGGACAAAACAAATTTAGAGAGAGAGAATAGGGTACTTCAACCCAAAATGAAAGAGTAATTATGCAACTTTAAGCATGCGTCAGTGCTGACCTTCATGCAAGGAAAACCTCTGCATCATAAAATTAATATTAACAAAAATTGTATATTTATGGATTTATTTGGTAATGATAAATTTTATAAAATAGAATATAAAAACAGGTTGATAAACACGAGGCAGGGGGTCGGCCGCACTCATGCATCTCCATCCAATCTAACGAGTCCAGCTATCCTCCACAAATATATGAAAGGTAAGGAAACATAAAAAGACAAAAAAAGCTCAACCATACCTTATCCTGCCGTATGTGTCCAAGGTCTCAGTAGGTGAACCACTTTCATTAACAAATACCCTTCCAATTATATTACTTAATTAATTAATATGCCATTTTTGAGTGATACATGCATCAATCGACATTTTGGACTAAAATAACATGGCTTTCCTCTTTTTATACATACACACCACTATTCTATTGTTTTCAAAAGAATATTTTAATGTTTAAAAATTAATTTAAATTTTCACAATCTGATGATTTTCTATTTCAAATCTTAAAATAAAAAACATACCGTGTGATTTCAAACAATAAAAGCACAAGTTAAATAGACATGTGCAGCCCGGACCAAGAAGCAGAATTCACTGGCAGTGAATTGGATCTCGGAATCCAAAGACATATATATGAACAAGGGATTGAAAAAGGATTTGTGGATTGATTTGCCTTTCTACATTGGACACCGACAGTGGGCGAGTCTAACAAAGGTGTGAAAATCTCATACGCAAATTATTAAAAGATAAATTGAAAAAGAAACAGTAAAGTATGTGTTTAAGTACAACATTTATTTTAGTCTTAATGGGTTTTCAACAACTGCTTATTAGATCATAAAACGATTCCGAGTATACAGGATTGTTATGCAGCACGTGCTCATTCCCAGACAGAAACACTAGTCACAGACTAGTTTAGCTACAAATTCATTTATGTTTTTATCTGAACTCCCACCTTCATCAACTGCCTTCTTCGCCAAATTCTTCCACTTGATCGCATTCTTCTTAATCTCTTTGCTCTTTTCTCCTTCCGTTAGTTCCTTTATGCACTGCTCTATAATCTCTCTTGTCACCAAACCTAATTTCTCATCAGGGCGAGCTCTAATTCCAATTCCCCATACATCCTCTACATGCTTTGCGTTGGTGCCTTGGTCCGTCCATTGAGGCATTGCAAGCATCGGAACTCCTAGACTTAATGCCTCTAGAACGGAATTAAAGCCGCAATGGGTAAGAAAGCAACCTGTTGACTCATGAGACAGCACCTCCAACTGAGGGCACCAAGTCACCACCAAACCCTTCTCCGCCGTCTCCTCTATAAAATTACCTGGCAGCTTGGCCTCCTCCGACTCCTTTACAACCCACAAGAAGTAGCAATTGCAACCTTTCAAAGCCCAAGCTAGCTCTGCCATTTGCTCGACTCCTAGTGATGCAAAGCTTCCAAATGACACATAGACCACTGAACTCTTTGGCTTGCCATTTAGCCAACTCATGCAAGCACTAGTGCTTGGCTTGAAGAGATTCATGCCATAATCTTTGTCATTTTCGAGTCTTCCGTCCAAGTACAGAGATGGAACAGTTGGCCCTACCGTCATCACCTTCCAGAATTTTGACATCCAATCCACCGCCTAATAAAAAATCCAGAAGATCAAGACCTTTAAAAACATTAATAATAATCTATAAATTAATCAGTGTTAAAAAAGCAATACGCACTATACCTCTTTTTCCAATTCGTAAAAAATGTTAAAAAACACCCAATCAGCTTCATCAACGTTGGAAAACTGATTCACAACCACATCCAACCAAGCTGGATAAGATCCATGACGAAAAACAAAAGATGGTAGCTCGGAAAATTCAAGTGGAGGCAATCCAGGAAGAGAAATTACATTAGAGCCCTGGAGTGGCAGCTGAAGAAGCCCCCTGCTAACATGGTAATACACGCTGTTGACAGCACAAGATTGAGTAAAAAACACAGCCGAGCGTATCCCAAACTGCTTCGCAACGTCAAGTGCCCAAGGCAAAAACCCATCATAGACAAGGCCATGAATAGGATGACCTGCATCAACAAGTTTCTTGATTAAGGTTGCTAAACTCTTAGGGCCTACGGACCAGAAAGTTTGGAGGTAGACATCAGCGCTGCCAGCCTGATCATAGCCGCCTTCATCAAAGCCGTCGGATATGGTCTGGAGATCAACAGAGCTGGTCAGGTCGGAAAACGTGGACTTGGAGAGGAAGACGGTGGTGACTAGAGTGGCTTTGACGTCCTTGGAGACTAAGCGTTTAGCGAATTGCACTATGGGGTTTATATGACCTTGGGCTGGGTAAGGAACGATTAGAACGTGAGCTTTTTTGGCTTTGTTTTCCTCCCCCATTTTCTCTCTATTCAGTTTGGCAGGTGCTCGCAGCTTTATCCAGCCCTGCTATGGAACCCTCGCAGACAATAATACTTAAAAGGGACATTTTAAACAATAATCTTTAAAGTTTTTTTATAATTTTAATTTTTTTAATCAAGTTGGATAAAAATATTTTTAATGAAATTACATGTTATGACGTTACAAACTATGTATAAAAAAATATTACATGTCATGATTAGGTTGTTACATGTCATGTACAAAAACGTGTGACACGTTATGATTAGGTTGTTACACGTCATGTGCAAAAACATGTTACATGTCATGGTTAGATTGTTACACGTCATTTTAAACAAAATACTATTGTTATATGCTATGTACCAAAATATGTTACACGCCTTAGATAAAAAAGGTTATTACATGTTATGTTGAAAAAAAATATTGTTGTTACACGCCAGCTACAAAAATATGTTACACACTATGGTTAAAAAAAGTTGTTATATGTCATATTCAAAAATATTTTGTTACATTTTAATGCCTAAACTATTATTGTTATTTACAAACCAAAACTTCAAATTCTTTCAACTATTTTTATTTCTTTTTATTTTTTTTACAATTTGACACCGATTAAAGTGTTTTTAATATGTTTTTATAAATCAAAACACAAATTTTCTTATCTAAAATACCTATTTTGACTAAAAATTGAAAAAAAAATTTCATTGAAAACCTAAATTTATAAATTTTAAATTTTTAAGTTTATTAGTGTCTAGATTCCGAATTGATCCAAATAAAAGCTATTTCAAACATCTATTATCATTTTTATTATTTAGTTTTATTCAAAATACTTAAAAATCAAACTCTTCAAATAGTCATCCACTCAAGTACATCAAAACCATCGTTTGGTGTCTTCAAAGTGTTGGAAAAAAAAATCTGAAAGCGAGAGAGAGAAATCGGGAGCATGGTAGACGAATGCCGAAAGAGAAATCAATAAAATTAGAGAGAGTGGTATATTGAGAGAGAAAAATCAAAAGTACAAATGGAAAGAAATTGTGATGAATGATTTAATTTATTTGAAACAGTTTCAAGGGTATTTTTGTCAAGTCATGACTAAATATGGCTAAAAACAATTAAATTTATTTTGATAGTTATTTTTGAAATGCCCTTATCAAGAAATGTTATTCCTCACAATTTTCTCATATACTTAAATGCCACGTTTGCTATGGGGAATAACTAAGCCATTCCTCATGTTCTTTTTCTCGTTTTTATTCTTTTGTTTGGTTGGTTTTTAAGGTGACCCAAAATCTTAGTTTAACCATTCTCTATTTTTCCATATTAATGGCTATTCCATGACTATGGAATAGAGTCAAAAATTTATTGGACAAAAATATCTCTATTTATTAAAAATAATTACAACTTATAAATAGAAAATTAAAAAAAAGCAAAAAGAAATTAAAATAAAAATTATATTAATAATTTAATAATAAATTATTAATGGTTAAATTTTTAATAAAAATAGAAATTAAAAGATTAAAACATGAAAATACAAATAGAGAAAAAATAAAAAATTGAAATAAAAATATCATATTAATAATTTAATAATAAAATATCAAAAAAGAAAAAATATTATTAAATTGTAATAATCAGTAATTTTGTCTAATTTACAAAATTATAATAAAAGATAATTTTGTCATTTTATTATTTATTCCTTAATTATTTTCAAATTATTTCTACCAACTAAATATCAGAGTGAGTTTTAATAACAATTATTATCATATTCCATTTCATGAACCAAACTATATAATAATTATTCTATTTTATTTTTATAAAATAATTATTTTATTCTATTTCATTCCACAAACCAAACATGTTAAAATGCCATATAAATGCAATGATGAATAAAAATTTTCAAGTGGAACTTCCTACATTTCAAATTTAATGTCTACTTTTTTAATACACTAAAATTTTTACTTTTCTATATTTTAAATGATTTTTAATATTTTTTTGAAATTTTGGTATTTAAAATTAATATAGTTGACCTTTATTCTAATTATTTAAAAAAATCGCAAAAACACTCAATTCAAAATATTTTTCTGAATTTTCGTGTCAAAATATTAAAAATGTTAACAATTAAATTAAACTAAAGATCATGCATAATAACATTTTTTAGTGAAATAAATATTAAAAAAAGAGATTCAAATCTAATATTTAAATAAGAAATATATGCACTTACAGTATTCAAATCTCAAATACAACTAGTACATAACTTCCAGCTTTATAGTCGTACGGCTTCAATGACAGATGCCGTGTCTTAACCACAGGTTTATTTTGTTAATGTACAACAAACCTATCATTGAAGTTGATTTGTAATCTCTTTTTAGTTTCATCCTCCACTATATTTAATATTTCACTACTAATATATGTTTATAATTTTTATTTTAATATATAGTACATTTAAATTTGTTTTTCTTAGTATAGGCAATAAGCATCAGCTGCCAAGTGCCGACCATCAGACCCAAAACCAAAGTCTGAAATCGAATTTGTTTTTCTTATTTTTCAAATAAAAATATTGTTCTAAGAATCACCGAATGCTGTGTATTGAAAATGAATCATACAAGAAATTAAGGATATGGATCAAAATTGTACGTGGAAAGCACTTTCTCTATACAAATAAGAATTCTACTTCTGTGACCATATACACATCGTTAACTTATTCATGAATAGTCCAGCACTCTGTCTAAGCTCTAGATTTCTAGAATTATCCATCACTCACATGAATAAAAATATATTGCAATCAATATATTTTTATATGTAGTAATGAGGATTACCAAAATCATAAATGAGTGTACTTTATTACTGGAGTTTATAGTTGATGTATGAACAGTATATAGTTTTTATACATAATCATCTCATCAACTATTGTCACTTCATTAGTGATATAAAATTACAAATTTTTTGAGAGATTAAATTTTAATATTAATATTTTCTAATAATTAATTAAATAAAAAATAAATATATTTTCTCTCCAACTCCCTCACAGCATTCTTTCATTGTTCTCCTCTTTTTTATCCCTCCCTAACTCTATTACCTTCTTCTCCCTTCTCTTTCTATTAAAATTAGGTTTGGCAAAATTTTGTAATTTCTAGAGATTTCAAGATAGTTTTTACTTGTTGATTTTAATGCTATATTTTTGAGTGATTTTTATAATTAATTTAGGGTTATAATGTAATAACTAGTTGTTCTTTTTCAAATACCTCGCTGATTTTAGCAACACTGTATTTTAGGGATTCAACAGGATTTTGGTTTGAATACTTGTTGAAAAACACGAAAAAAAAAAGGTGAAGGAGGTTTTGGAGAAAAGTAAAAATATTTTAATTTTTATTTTCAATGGAAAAAAAAGAAAATGGAGTTAAAAGAGAGATAAAAAAGAAAAAAACAATAAAAAAAGTTGTGAGCGAGTTGGAGAGAGAAAAAAAGAAATTTTTTTATTTATTTAATTATTAAAAAATTTTAATATTTAAATTTAAGTTTTTAAAAATTTTTAGTTTTACCTCATTAACGAAGTGACAATTTCGGTAATGTGATAATACATAAAAGCTATACACTGTTAGGGATGGCAATGGTTACCTTATTGCAAGGTATCCACGAATATCCGACTCAATTGTATAAGATTAGGATACTTTATAATCGAATTTGAGATGGGTTCGAGCAGTGATTTGACTACTCATATCGGGTTTGGATACCACCCATTGAGTACTCGCTATCCGAACTTAATTACCATTTATAAATATTTTATTATTATTTTAATAATTAAATTAAAAATATACAATTTTACCAACTTTACATGCAATTCTTTTTGTTAAAAACTAACAAATATATGAAAAGTATGGTTACTCTAATTATTAACATAATGATATTGATATATTTAAATTTAAAAATTATTAGACTATTAATTATGTTTAAATAATATGAATATCATATCATATTATAAAGGAATATAATTATTATATATATAATTTTAATATAAATATATTTACTTTCTATTTTATGTTAATGTTACAAAAATTATAACTTATAAAATTATTAATTATAATATATCTACCTTTATTTATATAAACCTAAAGAGAAGTTGTGAGATTAGAATAATTTAAAAACCTTACTATATTTTAATTTCATGAAATTAAGGATAAATTCATTTATTTAATTAAATTAATTCATGAAACTATGATTATTAATTAACTTGTAATGTCTTTTAATATATATAGTATATATATTGTGTTAATTTATAAGAAATATAATTACTATTATATATATACTAAAA